TTCCTTCCTTCTTTCTTTCTTTCTTTCTATTTTTTGCTGATCCTAAGGCTTGAACTCTGGGCCTAGGCACTGTCCCTGACCTCCTTTAGTTCAAGGCTAGATCTGTACTGCTTGAACCCCAGCTCCATTTGGGACTTTTTTTTTCTGTGATCTAATTGGAGATAAGAGTCTCATGGACTTTCTTGCCCTGGCTGGTTTTGAACTGGGATCCTCAGATCGCAGCCTCCTGAGTAGCTGGGATGACAGGCGGGAGCCCCCAGTGGCCAGCTCCCATTCGCCTTCCTCCATTGCCAAGAGTCAGTAAATAATGTTCAGAAAGGGGGAAAAAAGACTTGCAGGATTTTAAGATTCTTTCCTTTCTGAGAACTAAATTCCTCAGAACTACATATTTTGCCTTGGTAGCATTTGTTCTTCTGAACACACACACACACACACACACACAGACAGACACAGACATATCTTAGCTTTTCTACTCAGCCTTTCTATTCACTTTTTAAGTTTTTTTTATTGGCTTTTCTTCTCCCAACCAGCATGGGTTTAGTACAAATGCAACATCATCAGTAGAAATCTTTATAGCCATGATAGTTTTACAAGTAAGGCTTGCATTGTATTAACATTTCAAGAGACTATTGTGAAATATACACTGTTAATTTATTTGTGTCTGTGTGTTGATCTTGGGGCTTAGACTTGAGGCCTGGGCACTGTTCCTGAACTTTTTTGTTCAAGGTTGGTGCTCTACCACTTGAGCCACAGCTCTACTTCCGGTTTTCCGGTGGTTCATGGGAGATCAGAGTCTTACAGACTTTCCTGCCCAGGCTGGCCTTGAACTGTGATCCTCAGATCGCAGCCTCCTGAGTAGCTAGGGTGATAAATGTGAACTCCTGTAGTAGGCTACACTGTGAATTTTAAGAGACACTCTTGATTTATTCCAACTAGATAAGAAGGCTCAGAACTTTCTTTACTTTTAATGACTCGCTTTGCACTAGATAACTGCTTCCCCCAAACCCTCCATTTAAATCTCAACCGTGGAGGACAGGAAGACATTTCCTCCCAAAGAAGTAGGAGTTTGATTGCGATTCTGTTGCTAAGAGAAGCCCTTAGGAGGTGATCTGATTTCCCAGCCACCGATCTGGTGGCCCCTGCTTTCGGAGCTGTTCATTCAACTTAGAAGTTCTCCAGGGCCTGAAGAATAGAATGGAACTTTCTCTAGAGTCAGGCAAAGTAGGATAAGGTAGGAAGTATGCCCCTGGGATTGCTGGGAGGATTGTCACACGGAGGAGTGTGGGGAAGGAGGGACACACAGACGTGTGGGATTCCAGCAGAGAGAAAGAACTTCATTGGCAGATTTCCACTTTAACGAGAACACTCTTAGAGGACCGTTAAGGTGGTCCTGGGACCGTAGGATTTCTTGTCTCTGCTGAAGATAAGTATGGAAGGAAAGCATCATGAATGGACAGCCCTGTTTTTTTTTTTGTTTTGTTTTATTTTTTGCCAGTCCTGGGACTTGAACTCAGGGCCTGGGCGCTGTCCCTGAGCTTCTTTGGCTCAAGGCTAGCGCTCTACCATTTGAGCCACAGCACCACTTCCGGCTTTTTCTGCGTGTGTGGTACTGAGGAATCGAACCCGGGGCTTCATGCATGCTAGGCGAGCACTCTACCACTGAGCCATCTTGCCAGCCCAGCCCCGAGCTTTGAACAGATCAAGTCAAACTTAGAGGCTCCCACCCACGATCATCCATGTTTAAGAAGCCCCTTAAATTACGAGTGAACAGAAAATAACAGCAACCATGAAATGCTTTGTGGGTCCCTAAAAGGATGGAGATCTTAGTATGTTAATTATTTTTATTTAAAATAAGTTTGTTTGTCAGTCACGGAGCTTGAACTCGGGACCTGGTTTGGTTTTGTTTTTTTTTCTCTCTCTCTCTGAAGGCTGGCACTCTGCCACTTTGAACCACAGATCCACTCAGTTTTCTGGTGGTTCTTTGGAAATAAGAGGCCAGGTGCTGGTGGCTCACACCTGTCATCCCAGCTACTCAGGAGGCTGAGATCTGAGGATCATGGTTCAAAGCCAGCCTGGGCAGGAAAGTTCGTGAGACTCTGATCTCCCATGAATCACCAAAAAGCTAGAAGTGGCACTGTGGCTCAAGTGGTAGAGCACCAGTCTTGAGTGAAAGAGCTCAGGGACAGCGCCCAGGCCCTGAGTTCAAGCCTCACAAGTGACCAAAACCAAAACAACAACAATAACAACAACAACAAGAATGTTTTCTTCAAAGTTCGGGGTGAATATGAGTCAGCCCAATGCTCTGTTCTTAGCAAATCTATCTTGTAAAAATAGGAATGAATTAAGACATGTCAAGAAGCCAGACCCTGGCCAAATCTTCAGTGAAGGAATTTATGACCAATATATTCTAGAAAGAAAACTGTCAGAAAGTCTGCAATCTCATAAAAGTGACAAACAAATAAATTTGAGAATCTTGGGTCAACCAAACAAACATTGTACGCATGTTGTTTTCTAGATCAGCTCGTCCTGTTTCAAAGGTTTATTTAAGGATAGGATTAAAATACGAGAGAATAATATGTAATTCAAGAGAATTCTGAATCTCAGCATCCATGTTCCTCTGTTGGCCAAGAAGGAAGTTCAGATCAGAAAACTGAGACTCAAGAAAGTTAAGACGTGGGCTGGGAAGGTGGCTCAGTGGTAGAGCGCTTGCTTTGCATGCCTGAGGCCCTGGGTTCGATTCCCCAGCACCACATAAGCAAAAAGAAAAAAGCTGGAAGTGGCGCTGTGGCTCAAGTGGTAGAGCGCTAGCCTAGAGCTGAAGAGCTGAGGGACAACATTTCTAAACAAAATGATGCTAGGTGCTGGTGGGTCACGCCTGTCATCCCAGCTACCCAGGAGGCTGAGATCTGAGGATCGAGGTTCAAAGCCAGTCCAGGCAGAAAAATCCATGAGACTCTGATCTCCAGTGAACCACCAGAAAACCGGAAGTGGAGCTGTGGCTCAAAGTGGTAGAGCACCAGCTTTGAGCAAAAGAAGCTCAGGGACAGCACCCAGGCCCTGAGTTCAAGCCCCACAACTGACCATCCCCCCCCCCATAAAAAGCTTACTACATGATAAAACCGAGAAGCTCAAAATTGGGGCAAGGGCATAGATTGGAAATCACAGAGCAGATAGTGGAACATCTTCATGTTCCACTGTCCTCTTGCCTAAATTTGTGTGACCCAAAAAGAAAATGTCAAAGTGTAAATGGAAATGGAGGTCTGGCCAAGTGTGGTGGCAAACTCCTATAATCCCAGCTCCATAGGAGGCTGGGATAGGAGAATCGCTGTCTAAGGTAAGCCCTAGGCAAGATCAAGACCTCTATTAGAAAATTAAACTAAAAGCCAAAATATACCTGGACACCTGACTCAAGGGGTAGAGAGTTTGTCTAACAAGTGTAAATCCCAGAGTTCAAACTCTAGCACTACCAGAAATGAAAAGGAAAAAAAAAAAAGGGAATATAAAGGAAAAAAGAAATAAAGAGAAAAGAGGGAAAAGGGGAAGTGAAAAGGGAAAGGAAAATAAAAAGCAAAGAGAAAAGAAGTAAAAAAAGAGAGCGAAAGAGAGAGAAAGGACAAGAAAAAGACAAGAAAAGGGACTGATGGCAGACATGGAACCTCTGGGCATGGCGGGGCTCTCCCTTAGTTCCAGCCTTCAAGTGTGTGGTTTTCTCCTCCTCATGGCTGCTTTGGAGGAGAGGTTTATATGGTAGTGTCTTTAGTACCACAATTCAATATTTCCACAAGAACCCATAGCCAGCAAGGCACCCATGGTTCACACCTGTCAGCCTAGCTACTCACAAATTACGGTTACTGCATTTCAGTAGTCTTTTGGGAGTCTTCAAAATACGTGTGCTTTCGCTAAGGAGTGCAAATGTCTGCACATTTGAACAGAATTTTGTTGTTGGTGGTGGTGGTGGTGGGGCTTGAACTCAGGGCCTGGGCGCTGTCTCTGAGCTTCTTTGTGCTCAAGGATGGCATTTTGAGCCACAGCTCCACTTCTGGGTTGTTTTATTTTTGGGGGGGGGGAATTAGGTTTTTTTGGTGGAGATGAGAGTCTCACAGACTTTCCTGGCCCAGGCTGGCCTCAAACCACGATCCTCTACCCCGTCAGCCTCCTGAGTAGTTGGGATGACAGGCGTGAGCCACAGCCCCTGTGGCTCTCTTTTTCTTTCAGTGACATAACTCCTTCTCTCGCTCAGGTGCCCTGGCGAAGATCTCACCCCTTCCATCACCCTGCACCTCTCCAGTCCCGGGCACGCCTGAAACAAGCCCGGGGAGGAAAGTTTCTGCAGAGCAATTTCCAGAAACTGCAGACACCAGGGCCCAACAAAGCCCAGCTCCTCACAAAGCCTTAACCTACACCCAGAGTGCTCCCGACCTGTCCCCTCCAGCCCTGCCTCCGCCCGTCATATGTAGCAGGTGAGCAAAATGGTTTATTGACTTACTGGACTTTCAGATAACAAACAATACCAGCTTCCCTTACAGCCATGGCTACCCTTCCCCTCCACAGCTTGGGGAGAGAGCGCCCTCTTCCGGTTAACGAGAAAGAACAACGTACATGACCTGGGTTCAACAGACTAGGATGGAAACTTTGGTACCTCAGTGTTAATAGAAACGTTAGACTGTAGGCCATCTATCTGTACCTGCTGATCTTTAAAGATGGCACCCGATTCTTAGTTGTGTTAGAGAATGCTTTCATCTATCGTTTTAAAAATGGAAGTGGAGTCAGGCCCTGGTGGCTCCCGCCTGTCATCCCAGCAACTCAGGAGGCTGAGATCTGAGGATCACGGTTCAAAGCCAGCCCGGGCAGGAAAGTCTGTGAGACTCTGATCTCCAGTGTACACCCAGAAAACCAGAATTGTTATTGTTTTCCACCCAGAGCTCTGCCTTGAGCCGCTCATTTTAGTGAACTTTTTGGTGTGTGCGTAACAAGGAGTGTTTCAAGTCTAATCACTGATGTCTCCTGTATTTCCTAAACCTGCTGATGATCACTGAATGTTAGTCATGCGTGGATATTCAGATCTGGAATACGAGCTCACAGAGGCGGAGATTTTATGACCCTACACATAAAATACTTGAGATGCAAGCCACAACTCTTGGTGGAAGTTAAATGTCATTTATCAGCTCATCTTTATTTTTTTTTAAACTTCTTTTCCCCCCTGAAATTATTTTTATATGGAAAGCCAACTTGGCTTGTCTCTTTATCCAAAAGCAGAGTAGGGCTGGGCAGGTGGCTCAGTGGTAGAGTGCTGGCCTCGCATGCATGAGGCCCTGGGTTCGAGTCCTCAGAACCACCTATATAACAACAACAATAATAATAATGAAAGCGGTGTCCACTATCATTCTCCTCTCCAAAGGCTATTCTGTTGCCTTCCATGACAGCTTTATAAAAATGATTCTATTTTATTTATTTTAGTTTATTACATTGCTTTACTTTGTTTTACCTTATGTCATGCTACTTTATTTTACTTTCCGTTGTAACATTATTTTACCTTCCTTTACCTTTATTTCATTACACGTATATTTTTTTCTTTCTTTCTCCTTTTGTCAGTCATGGAACTTGAACTTAGGACCTGAGCACTGTCGCTGAGCTCTTCAGCTCAAGGCTGGTGCTCTACCACTTGAACCACAGCGCCACTTCCAGTTTTCTGGTGGTTCATGGGAGATCAGAGTCTCATGGACTTCCCTGCCTGAGCTGGCTTTGAACTGCGATCCTCAGATCTCAGCCTCCTGAGTAGCTGGGATGACAGGCGTGAGCCACCGGCGCCCGGCCTTTATTTCATTTTATAGTTGATTTCTTATTTTAAATTTTTTTATAGTTTTAAAACTTTTTATCTGAAATTTTGTTTTATGTCATTTTACAGCTTTTGAGGTTTCATTTTACAGTTTATTTGAGGTCATTTGTAGTTCTTTTACTTTTTAAACTTGATTTTATTTCATCAAAAATTTTTATTGTGATCGTAAAGGTGACATGCAGAGGGGGGACAGTGACATCACTCAGGTCGTGAGCACATGTCTCTGTGGACCCTGTCCCCCCTTCCCTCGCTCTCTCCCCATTTTTCCCTCTCGTCCCCACCCACCAGTGGTAGACTTCATTCTCCACCTGGTGTCCAGTGAGGACCCCGGCTGCCTTGGTTTACCCTTCTGTCCCTCCCTATTTTATTTCATTTTTATTTTTGGATTTCTCCTTATAGCTAGTGTGTGTGTGTGTGTGTGTGTGTGTGTGTGTGTGTAGCAGGATGAATGTAATGGGATTTTTTATACAAGAACTTTCAGAGGAACACACACACACACACACACACACACACAGACATGAAGGGATTTCACTGAAGTCCACTCGGGTTGCTGCTGGGTATAAATCCAGTAGTGGGTGTTTTATTGCTTGGGCTTCATAAATCTATAATTCAACCCAGGTTTTATTATTCACTGTGAGTCAGCCACCCAGGGAGCCCAGACTCTGCCGGAGACACCAGCACCACCACGCCGCAGCTCAGGGCGGCTCCCAGCTCAGAACTTGGCATTGAACTTGAACTTGACGCACTGGGGCGCTGAACTTGCGCTTGGCATCGAATCCCAGTCTCTTTGCAACAAGAGTTTTCTTTTTTTTCCCCCTTCTTCTTTTTTTTGTTTTTGTTTTGGCAAAGAAGCATAGGAGACCCCCATTTAAATAGTTCCTCATTTAACTAGTCCCTGATTCCAATAGTCCCGCATCTAAATAGTCCCTCATTTAAATAGTCCATTTGCCATGCGAAAAAAAAATAATGTGTTCACACTAATAAAGCCAGACTCCACCGGTGTTTGCAGGAAATTTCTTTTGCCTTCTGTTCTTTTATTCTTGTTGGCATCCCTGAGACAAAACGATGGGATTTTAGTTACCCTTAGGAATAATTCACACGGGTTATGTTTCTCTGCTTACGTGTGTGTGGGGGGGGCGGGTGGGGGGGAATGGCCGAAAGATAAATTCACATTGTATAAAGATATTTCCTTTTCCAGCTGGAAAAGGCTTTTTAACCAATGACATGAGCAGACCAATACCACTGTGGGAACCAAATAATGAAACATTTTGGATATGAAACTTGGTTCTTCCCGTCTCCGGGTAGACGGGCTATAGCTAAATGGCAAACAGATGAGAGGGGAAGAATAATAATAAGTTCCTCTGAGATCCTTTTTGTTCTTTTCTTCCCAGTCAGGCCCAACAAAAGCATCCAGTAGCCCAAAGACGCATTAAAATCCAATCATTGAAATGGCCACACAGGAGACGCAGCCTGGCTTTAGGGGCTGGCTCTTTTTAATTATCAACCATTCTCCCTGTTGAT